TTGATGATATTGTTAAACTTTTTCAGCGCTCTAATTCGTTATAATTTTTGTAAAGTGTTCTCGCACATTTGCTAGAACTACTTGTTGCGCCGGACTAATTCCTGTTTATGCTACTAACTATTGTCGCTAATCTTATTTTGAAAATTATTAATATAATCATGTCAACTTAACCGTTTTTCCATTTGAATCAATAAATTGTGATTCTTAATGCTAGTAGATTTAAATTTTGTTATTATTATTATTATTTAACAATCAACTCTTAATTTGTTAAGAGTCCTTGCAATAATAATAAATAATTTTTTTTATATCTTCAATCCTATTGCCAAATAATTTCATATCTTACTGTAATCCCTTTTTTTTTTTATATGTTTCATTCCCTTGTCACTCTCAAATTGAATCTAATCAATCACCCTATCTTATTCTAAACATTTGTCATTGATAATAAAGCTACATATTTTTCAAACTAAATGGTGATAAAAAAAAAAAAAAAAAAAAAAAAAAAAAAAAAAAAAAAAAAAAAAAAAAAAAAAATAAAATTTACCCTGGAAGTCCTTGTGTTAAAATTAAATTACAGTTAAAATTATCATATAAATAAAAATTTGTAAAAATTAATCTATTTATTCATTTCTTTCAATATTATTTCTAAACATTTATATATAACAAATTATTCTAAATGCTAAGGGAACAATTTTTTTTTTATCTCATTTCAGATATAATTTTGTTTAAATTGCAGAGAGAATGAACGTCAAGTTAAGTTAAATCCAAAGCGTTTATTGATATTCCAAAAGGGTAAACGCTGACTAGTAAGTAGATAAGTGGTAGCCTAATCAAAGGGAAGCTTGTATTATAAGTAAAAGTAATTATTTGTTCCGCTTACTGGTCTCTTTAGAATATTTACACGATTATAATTACTCGATCGAATAATACAATTTATTTATTTATATTCATACAGTTCTTTCGTAACTGTCAATTGTTCTATTGTTCACTATTTAAAACTAAAAAATTAAACAACAAAATGCTCATTAAACATTATTACTAAAGTAATTATTTTGAGCGTATTTGTTCGAGCACTTACAATATTCATAATAAATAATATATTTTTTTAATTATTATTGATATTTCTTGAAAATTTATTTATTATTTTATACCATAAAAACGTAAAATTAACTTTGAGCTAACATTCCCTTGATTGTCTTAAAATCTCAAAATATATTCTTTAATAACATTGAGTCATGCGTTTTAATTAAAGCTTGCTTAATAATAAATATCTTAAAAATGGAATAATTCATGTATTCCAGTGACGTCGCCAAGCATATATTTATTTTTTTTATAGAGTGGCCGTGTAGTATTAACAATGGGAAAAAATATCGTTGAAACTATCCAATTATTACGACATACATTTAAAATTATAAATTTATGTATATGTTTTCTAGTACCATTACTAAATTTAATTGATACTTGTAGTATTTTTATATAAACACTCGTTCGTTCATTCAATCGTACTTCATTCGTTCGTTCATTCATTCTCAACATCTTCTATCCCATTTTTCTTCTTTTCGACTGCCTATCTTTTTTTGGCTTTTGTGCCATATGTTTGTATAACGTTTTTTATGTACTGCTTTGATGCTTTCACGAGGGCGTGGAATTCATCCAAATGTGTGATTCATTCGGATTTATAAAAATAAAATAAAAAAATAAAATAAAAAATTAAGTGTCTTAGAAATGGTAGAGTTTTTGTAAAAGAGAGAAAAAGAAAAATGACAAAATGATGATTTATTTCATTAAAGAAATATCTTAATTTAGTAATAAATTAATTATTGTTCCTATACGTAACTAAATACATAATACTATTCGCCAATGAACTAACTATATGAATAATTAAAGTGCCTAGTAATTCTCTATAATTTATAATGAAATTTCTGTATTAGGTTTAATTATGGTAACCATTTACACAGAACCTAATATATCCTTGTTTCGCTGTATTATCTTTTTTTACTACTTCGATCGTGAAATTAAGTGTATTTATTCTTTCTCCACAGCAGTCGTTATTCTCTATATTCTCCTTTCATCCCTTTTTCTACCCCAAGATTCATATAGGCTTTCTATTTTCTTTTGCTACCTACAATTTTCCCTTTTTTTTCACGGCATTAAACCATAGTACACAAGAAAAAAAAAAAAAAAAAAAAAAAAAAAAAAAAAAAAATCATGTCACATAATACAAAAGCTATAAGAACGAGCGATATTTATGAAATATTCGACTTTATTTGTTATATGAAAATTTTGATAATTATGACAATTTATGATATTTGTCTAAAATATATTCTCTATGAAAGAATTTCCAATATTGGATTGTACTCATATTTAGCCAATTTAAATTAAAGTTCCTTTATATTTTACTAATAAAATATTACGTTATATATTAATATATAAAAGAGGCAAAAATTATGACCATAAATAATCATAAATTAATGACCAAATACAATCAATGTAATTATTTTAATTAATTTAATTATAAAAATTTGTTATATTTATAACCAATTAACCAAAGTACTAAAATTATTGCACTATAAAATAAATAATTATAATGCAATAAATGCTTTATTTCTAATTTTAAAACATATAACATAGAAATTCTATGAATAACAATCCAAATTTCAAATTAATTATGTTTTATTTATTAAGTATAGTAGATGCCAATCTAACAATAATAATTATAACTTAAATTTAATTAAAGCGTATTTAATTCAATTAAAATAAAATTAAAAATTACTCAAGATGTTTGTATAATTCAAAATTTTTAATTACAAAACATTAGTATTGACGAAATTATGATTAAAAATTAATTTTGTAAGTAATTCGTCAATTTTTTAAGAAATGATATTAAACAATTTACAGAAAAATTCAAAATTGTTTTTACGATAAGATATTTTTAGTCAACTTGCGATATTATAGTATAAAGCGGTTCAAATATATATATATATATATATATATATATATATAACCACATAGCAAAACATATCATCAATATCTTATTTTATCATTAGTACGAATGAAGTTGTTTTAATGTATCAATAATGTAAATTATTATACCTTGAATGGTAATATTCGATTGCACATGACTATAATAGCGACATAAGCTAAGTGAAATAAAAAAAAAAAAAAAAAGTTAATAAATTCAAGCGCTAGATGAAATATTTTATTTGCAGAAATGGACAAAGTTAATTTCTAAATACGAAATTGACGCAGTTATAAAGTTTTGGCTTATCGATAAGTTTTTATTGATACTATAGAATCAGTCGTTTAGTTCAAGAGTCGTCAATATTCCGCATTTTCACTGTTCACTATCGGGGGCTAAATTAAAAATGAATCTGTACTATCAAAATTCAAATAATATTTCAATATGATTTGTAAAATTTTTGAAAATTAAATTAGTACTCTTATAGTTTATCTATCGGAATTAATTGAAAGTAACTCGTCGATTTCGCTTAGGACATCAAAATTTTATTAAATGATTTTTATTTGCAAATTTTAAGTACTCTCGGTTATAAAAGTTGAATTAATAATTTATCTCAATATCGATAAATTTATTTTTTAAATTTATTTATGCTCATTATGATACTAAGATTGTCAAGAAAATTTGATTAATTCCTGATTGCAACGATAAAGAAATTTTGTATTTGTAATTGTCAACGCTCATGCATGTGCATATAAATATAACATTCAAATTGTACGTGATTTCATTATTCTTATCTTCAAAAAAATATCAGAATTTACAAAAATCTTTGATATTTGATTACAAATGAGTATTTGCATTTTTACATACTAATTAAGCATACTAACGTAGAATTTTATTTCTTCGTCAAGGGTTAAGGCTTCATCAGCCGTTAAGGATTATATTCAATTGGATATAAAGGACTAGCCCGAGTAGTTAAATTACAATATAATGATTTTATTAATACTTTATATAAATTATTTTAATAGCATGACACTCGTTGGTTATAGAATTAATGTTGTTATTAACGCTACACGTGTAAGATGATTTTCTGATAATGAAAATGTAAAAGATCTTATTTTAGTATAAAGCCCTGAAGAAAGTCGAGCAATACGTTGTGACAATTGAATGTATTTCATGTGAATAGTCCTTTTTTTATATGTGAAATTGAAACAATCACTGTGGTCACGAGACTATCCTAGCGGATCCTATCCCATACACTGGCTGGTAAAATGTACTTATCCAAATAAATAAATTCCATGATATTCCAGAATCTAATGCATTTGCTGTCAAATGTCATGGCGTTTGGTGACGCTTTAGTAGCATTTCGTTGCGAAATACCCGTTCACTTGATAATTGCATCCTCAATCTCGCGCTTATGAATCAATTGAATGGTTAAGGGAGAACGGAGCATTGAAATTGAAAAAAAAAAAGAAAAAAAAAAACTATAAAGGAAAAAATAAAAAGAAAAATCCAAAGGAACAAGGTAAGGCGGATTTATGTTACCGTAGTGGGATCAAAGACTCCCTCCCTTAAGGTTGGCATAACTTGGTCGCAAGATAAAGTATTTGTAAGTGGGTACGGGATCGTAAGTGGTGATAGGATGTAAATAACCAGTGACAATAGCGCGCAAGTTTTATGTATTCGCAGCGAGAGCACATGCGCGCGTCATTAGAACCAATACATAGAAAGCTTAAGAAAAATCGTGGTAAAAAAAGTACGGCGAGATAATCTTATCGCTCGCGCATTTTCATCGGCACCGTGTTTACATTAACGAGTGACGACGAGTAGGCCAAAGTAGGTGACATAAGCAGTGACGTAACGCGAGTCGCGTCGACGATTTTCAAAATTTCCGAGCGAGTCGCGCGCGACAGACGATAGTCGTAAGGGACGAGGACGACGAGGCCGATGCACCAGCTGAGATCGATCGGGGACGGCGCTGCAGGGGGGGGGGGAGGGGGGGGGGGGGGGGGGGGGGGGGGGGGGGGGGTCCGGGGGGCAGGGGATGGTGGGGTAGTGGCGGCGATGGAGGTGGCGGTGGTACGCACGGTTGGGGGATCCTCGGTGGAGCGCCGGGACGCACTTCGTCGCTGGCGGCCCGACTCGGAAGTCGGCCCCGACACCGGAGCCACTGCTCAACGCCCGCGCACCTCGAACGAGTACGCGCACCAGCATCAACGAACGACCGAACGCCGATTTGCTGTGGAGAGCCGAGAGAGGTGAGTTGGCCTGACCCTGGCGCCGGCCGATCCCCGCTCGCTCTCTCTCTCTCTCACTCTCTCTCACTCTCTCTCACTCTCTCACTCTCGCTCGCTCTATCCTTATTTATTTTACGTCACGTAAGATGGTCCTTTTCCCGAGCCAGTCGATTTTCCAATTTTTCACGAATAACTAAATCATGTAAGTTACTAATCCTAATTATACGGAAAAGCCGATACATTGCGCGAGAAGGCCAAATTCAATTGTTTTTAACAATTATGTGGCATTTAAAAGGACACTTTAAATTGCAATGCTCGCATTTCTCTATCGGCTGCTAGCATCTTCTTGTAAAAGATTACATACAAATGAGTTTATAACTACTTTACTTTCTTTTAATCTTATATCGAGTGTGCAATAAATTTTTTTATTAAATATTTTCTTATTAAAAGACAATCAAAGTAAATATTTAACAATAATGGTCGCATGGTATTATGAAAATGCACAACTAAAGTAAAATAAAAGTGATAAAACAATCGATTTGTGCTATTATTAAGAATAAAGTTTTTTAACAGAATACTTTACTAGTAAACTTTAGCATTAATAAATATTTGTATTACGATTATGATCTGCCAATACATTCTCAAATAATATTTTCATTCATGTTTTAATAAAATACTAATTGATAATATTTCTTATATTTTTAAATGAACGAGTTTCAATTTTTTATTATTAACGCTCATTTTAATTGCTTCTTTTTTTTTTTTTTTTTTTTTTAAATAATATTTATCCCCAATATAATTAATGAGTGATAAAATTTATATTTGAAAAATTCTTTATTTAATGTTTATTATTTTGTTTTTATTGTTTATAAATTTTTAGCTTAACATAAGGGCTAATAATTTTGATTCTTAACAATATTGCATTTTACGTATGAAATTGAAAAAAAAAAAAACAAAAAAAAAAAAAACAAAAAAAAAAACAAACAAAAAAATAATAATTCAAAATTGATTATAACCCGGAGATTTAACGACGAATTGCTTTAGTAAATTTTTAATTTCATTAATCATAATCGTCTTCAGTGTAGGTAAAAAATATTATAATAAAGGTTATGAAAAAGAATTATAAAAAGAAGAATCTTCATAGATAAGAATTATCCTATCGATTGGCACACAGCACTGGTAATTTAATGTAAAATTTTAATGAAATTGTTTATAAACATCTAATTAGACGAAGATAATTGTAATATTTTTCTTTTCATAATATATAGGATATTTTACGTTGTGATAATAACGGTGTTGAACCATTGTCCTTTCTTATATTATAAAGTTGCAGCAACGAAATCATCATTTACTTTATCAATCAACTTCCGTAAAATTGTAAATACAGTTTTGACTACATAAATTTGATGTAAGTAAAATATTAAATTTAAACTTAATACAACGTAATTTACAAAATAAATGGATAATTGAATTAAGCTGAATAATTAAAAGTTTCATAGTAAATATAAGGAATACAAAGAATGTAAATGTAAAGGAAACTTAATATTTTACTAAAATTTACGATAGTATGCTTAATAATAACTTTCATATGCAATAGTGAAAAATTAAAAAATCATAAGTTAATTTGAATTATTCTGAGCGAATAATAACTATTTGTTTATGTAAATTCACGATTTTAAGAGCAGCAAATCCAATAATAAAATTCTATCAAAATTATTGGAGACAATGGGCTTAAAATTTTCTTGAATTAATTTTGCTATTCTTAATATTAAATATTGCCACTTAGCTAACGAAATACGTATAAATACAATGTTCTTGAAACTGGCAAAGACTGCAATTTAATTTAACCGTATGTCAATTGACATCAATGCAATAAAGCCATATGATCTTTAATCATACTCAACGCTATTAAAACGTGAGTAAGCCGATGCAAAAATATCCTACGGTATTTATATTCTCTCCAATGTATGATAAAGAAGCTTAAAATAAAAACTAAAACGTTTTCTAGATAATTTCCAACGGTAATTGCAAATATGATAAAAATGTAATTCATATTAAAAAGCGACTTTAACGACAGGACAATCGACTGATTAAGAAAAAAAAAAAAAAAAAAAAAAAAAAAAAAAAAAATGACGATAATAAGTCTAATGAAAATGAAAGAAAAAATTCGTTTGAGCTAAGATTCAAATGTTTATTCGCATTAATGATTAATGAAGTATTACATATCTAATCGAATTATGCAATAATCTAAGAAACTTGCCAATCAAATAATATTAATGGCAATGAGCGTATTTTTACACAATTAACTTTCTTCTCTTTATTAAATAATCTTATTAATTAATGATTTGTTATTATTTGTATATTTTATTTTGTAAAATAAGACATCGATTATACTTTAAAGAATATTCTATTGCAGTCTTAAAACATAAATTTTATTTATAATTGAAATTTAAAAGTTTTTCGTTAAACTACTATTATACGATATTGTTAAATTGCATAAAAATAATGTAACGAGTACTCTATGTAGATTGACAGAACATATCTCATCGAATTCAATTGAAAAATTACATGAAATTTTCTTTAAAAAGTACTAATAGTAAAAGAATTCATTTGTTGCATCCGATAGTTACAAAGCTCACATAAAGGCTAAAGGCTAAAAATTCAATGAAAATAATAATGTTAAATAATATTGTTTTCAAATCCTATAATACGACTAGCAAATTGCATAGTAATTATATTTTTTAGATAAAATTCTCTATTTTCATACAATTGAAATCATATTTATTTACAAATTTTGGGAAAACGCGCAAGCCTATTGCGACTGAAAAAGTAAGTTACTTAAAAAAAAAAGTAATATTTAAATACAACTACTGAGCATTTATAAAAAAAAACTTTCAATCGCCTTATTTTATTTGCTATAAAAATATACTTTTATAATAAGTATCGCACATGAAAATTAGGCATGGAATTTATTTTAATATTAAGCCAAAAAAATTATAATATTTATTACGACTTTCTTTTAAGCACATTGTTGTATGTATAATTAGCAATAATATAACTTTTTTCGTGTATTATATTTATGCTCAATAGCATGTTTTTGTAGACTATGTCGTATGATAAAGAATTGCATATAATTGAATAGAGATGTTAAATAATTAATTTCAAACGGACTCCATTTGAGTGCAAAGAAAATTTATAGTAATTGAAACAACGAAAACATATGAGGTGATATTAGCTAAAATTAAATGAGACAATAGCATCGATAATAGAACATTAATAATATAAATAAAACGCTTTATAAATACCATTGACAATTCTTTCTTTGCAGTAATGTAGACTTTGATAACAATAGGTGACGGTAAGTCACGTATACGGCCATCTTCGTCATCCAAAACTGGCGCGTTTTCTTAATTACTCTTTACTCTATTTCCTCATCACCAAAGTACCGATTGATAGAGAGAAATGAAAAAGGTAGTTAATTTTTGTTGAATAACGTAAATTCGTCCATCTATTTCGTCAAAGATAAACGTTTGTTGCATATAAATCAAGAATCTATTAGGAAGAGTAGAAAGAAAAAAAAAAAAAAAAAAAAAAAAAAAAAAAAATTAATGACAACTACAAAAATATAGAAGTGTTGCAAATCATCAAGATATATTTCATCTTCCTCGTCCTAATTAAACTTTTAGCAATTATCGAGGCTTAACCCGACTACATTTTTCCCGCTTGATACTGACCTGACGTACTCTCCAAATCATCTATCAATATAAGCTCTATCGAATTAATAAACAAAATTTAAAAAAAAAAAAAAAAAAAACAGCATCGTCCCTGATGGACAAAGAAGTAGAGTACTCTCACCGTACCCTAAAAATACTTGGGAAAGTCTTTGGCCACAATTGTGAAACAAGTTAATCGAGTGTCTCAGAAATCAAACACGTGCGTATCGACACGTGAGCGGTCGGTTAATTGTCTTCGGCAGACTAAGTTTGGCGAGAGGCTCGCCTCGCCGGCGCCCTTGGGACCATCGAATTTCCGGGACTCAGGGTGCAGTGACGCGCACCCGAGCCCCGATATTTATTTCCGGTATGCAAGGCACGCCCATAACTGCTAATTATAGGCCAGCCGCGCGTCACAAATAGCTGACGGGTGTTTCGCAGAGAGGTACTGCAAATCTAAATTTTGAAATCGTGGCAAATTCGGTACCACGAGATTGCGAACTGTGGACGGAGCGGGGGGGGGGGGGGGGAGTGTATCGAGTCGAAAATTTTTCACTGGAGATATTCCGGAAGGCACGGTTGTCTTTAAGCCTTCGACGCTCGTTGTTGGTAATTTCGATTTGCATCTTCCCCTTGCGTCATCAAATAACTTCTCGTTAACGATACACAAGACGTTCTTTCGCGGGCACTTTCGCACTGTTCAGCGGCCGCCACGTTTTTCCATTTTTTTCAGAAAAGCAAGATACTCGCGACATTCTTACACACTCGTTTTAAAATCAATTTGATCAAAAGACCACCCGCGTTTTTTACTTTCTGTAAAAAGATTATTTCATTGATAACGCATCGAGTAAGAATTTTATTAACAAAAGTGGTATGATAAAATTTTTCGTCGGATTATTCAGTTAGTGATTCTAATCTCCCAAGTTTTGCCTTATTATTATAATTTACAGTCCGAATTATATTCTCATATCTTACAAGTCTAAAAACAATAAATTAATGACAATCTGAACATTCTCGTAGAAAGACGGCCTGCATGCACTGTGTCTGGAATACAAATTTACCAAAATGTAAAAAAAGAATGTTCAACATACCAAAGCCTCGATACTTAATCGAACGATTATAAATCATCTTCTACACGATATCCTAATTTCATATTAATATCCGAATTGTAAACATATATGTCACTAGTGACGGAAGGTCAGTATTATAAGATGTATTAAATAAGATTAAATTATTTGTGATATTACTTAGGAATTTAATAAACAAAAATAAAAAATAAAGTTAAGATGTTTCGACTAAACGTTCAAGCATTCGGGTAATATCAACCTAATTGAGCACCGACTTTTAAAACTATCTTCACTGACATATTATTCGATGCACTTCTAGACTAGTTAATCTTTTAATGTCAAATTTTCTGTCCATACAGTCTATTAGTCATATCTTATTCATCAAAAAGATCATATTTTATCATTATTATTGATGCAGCCAATTAAAAGCTAATAACAAATAAAATCATAAATTCACATTTATTATTTCCATTTAGCGTTGCTTTTGTAAGAAAAAGCGCTTATTACTTATTAATGTATTATGAACACATATGCACCGAACGATTTAAATTAAGGAATATTGTAACATATTACTATTGGAACATATTTATAAAATAATAAATACAAAAAAAGAAAGAATTTACTTAATCAATTAGTTAATTATATATATATATATATATATATATAATGAAATTTATTGTTCAAATCTAATTCAACTGAATAGAAAAGATTCCAAATGAACGATATTTCACATTCACCCATTCAGTTCTCGAATTCAAAAATTACTAGAAAGGTAGCTACTTCATTATTTATATGTCAACTTAAAATTTTATGATAATTTAAATATTTTAATAAATACTGTATACGTTAAAGCTCTTATAATACAAATTAACGAACAATTATTTAAAAATCGTTTATATTTTTAGCCAATAATTTATAATTAAATTTACATTACATTGCTATGGTATTATAATTTGATATTAATTTGTTATTTGCACAATAGGGTTAGTTTAATATTATAAATTATTTGTACAACTATTTCATTAATTCAGATACTACATCTCTATGTTTCCATCTCATTTCATAGGTTACTGTATATATTTCAAATATTTGTTGTGTTAAGCTTGTTAAAAGAATTTATCTGATGCAAATTATGAAGAAACTAATATATTTGTGTGTGTGTGCGCGCGGGCGCGTCCGTGCGTGTCAGAAACGAAGACAATTTAAAAAAGGGGAGAGAATTACATCAGTTTACATTTGACGAAGTAAATCAAGATATCAATGTTCGTCAGTCGATATTTGTTTGATCACGTGGATTCGAGTTGTTTTTTGTTTTTGTTTTAAGAAGAGGATATATGTCCGTTTAATAAATTTACTCAATCGAATTTACAATATCCATAATACAAAAATAATATATTTATATATGTGTGTTTATTAAAAAATTAGCTAATGCAATATTGTTGAAAAAGTAAATGAAAATAAAAATGAATAGATAAGTATGGCAGTGAGTGAAAATGTTACATGATCGTCTATTTAATCAATATTTCAGAATACTAAGTAATTCTTTAATAACTTACTCTTTAATAATAGTAAGCATTAAATTTAAAATTAATGAAAATAAAAATCACTGAATAATCGTACCGAAATGCGGGTAACCATACGTAATAAAATAATAAATATAATAATAATAATAATAATAATAATAATAATAATAATAATAATAATAATAATAGAAATAATTGTCATCGTTCTCAAATCTATAAAAAAAAAAAAAAGAAAAAAAAAAGAATAAAAAAATATATATATATTGTTGAATAACAACAATTAAAAAAAATTATCAAGTTTCTTATCTATAATCGTTATACAGCATATGTTAATATAGACCAAAGACGTTTTGTTAATATAAATAATATATCTTTCATATAATTTGTAATTATTCTTTTGCTCGAAATAAAAAATAAGTGCTTAATTTTTTTCTTAAATAATTATTTTTTACTTTGAATTATATTTAAAATTAATCATAACTAACTTATTTCTACTGTTTAGAAAAGATAAAACAAGTTATTATAACAATATAATATGTTGATAAATGAGCAGTAGATGATCGGAGTATCATCCTTATCATGTACGCTTACGCTGTAATAATTAATTAATCAATTTTGCGCGAAATGACACTGATCTTTTATTTTCAATTTATCAATGGCGCGTGTGTACCGAATTGTAAATTATTCACTCACTTTTTATTCATAACTAGGAAAATTTTCATTATTCTATTATGTAAGATCCTCATTCATAAAATCCCTTATTGTAATTTTATTACAAATTGGTATTGTAATGTCCAAATATTTGCGTGCAAACTGCAAAGGCAAATAAGTGTAGAAAGAAATTGATAAAATCGTTGATATTTATATTTAATTTTAATAGATGTAATATGAATTTCTTAATATATGACTCCAAATTTTATCAGATAAATGATTAAATTCGTGTTACACTTAATTTTCATAGATACAAATTCAAATTCCAATTGAATAATACGCGGAAAAGTTTGAATTTATTATCCCGTAGTTCAAAATGTCAATTTAGCGTAGAAAACTTAATTACGCTGATTATTTTCCTCGAGCTTCTAAAATTGCTGACATTCATTAAGAATATAATAAAGTATTGATTGACACTATATTAGAATTCAATATAACGACGTTTTTTATATAATCGAATGAAGTTAGGAATTAACTATATTAATTACAATTCAATGGAATATTATTTTATTGAATGAAAACTGTATTTTAGAAAGTGAAAGTATTGACAATGAAAAGTCTTTAAAATCAATGAGAAAAATAAAAGAAATTACTTGAGCACATTTGTTTTAAATAATGTTCTGATTAATTTTTTAAAACTGTTAATAAGTAATTAACAATTTTTGTCTTATTCTTTAATTTAAATTGCTCAAAATAATATAGATTTAACAATATTAGAGAGTATTTAATACTTAATATCAATAACTTTAATTCGTACTTGGCTAGTTAACAGTTAAGAGAATGAATGGTATTTTTAACTATTTTGAATATACAATTAATCTTGGCTTTCTTCCTGACGTACTTAGATTACGTTCAAAATAAATTTTCAATTCTAAATACATGTTCTTGTAAAAAAAAAAATTGCAAATTTTCTACACAGCCAACTTTATACAATCCATTATATGGTAGATAGAAAACGATAATTTTATTTATAAAGTTAAATTCATTCGATTAATCTATAATATAATCATTGCATTTATAGAAGTTCAACTTTGTAATAGTATATTTTTATTTTTCTTACGTTAATGGTAAATTTAAGTCAAACATAATAAGTTTTTTTATTTTGTAATATTATCACATTTTTAAATAAGCCAATTATTATTTCGTTAAAAATACTAATATTTGTGGACAATGATTAGTTTTATATTGTTGGGATTAGGAAAAATTAAAATGATAAAGTAAGCACATGTACGTGACTTTTATCTTCAAATGATGAAGCTTTTTCTTCCTTAACAGAAACAAGTGTTTACGTTGTTTAACTTTCAAATGAAATGGAATTTTTGCATGAATGAAAAAAAAAGAAAAGAAAAAGACATAAAATGATGTATCCTTTCACGAGTTTAATAATGATATCGTTGGCAATATTTAATCAATAAGTACAATCGGACGCGTGTATTTGCTTAACGATTTAATGAATTTAAAACTTATGTTTAAATATAAACTAGTTGAATGAATGGGGCGAGTAAAATTGATACCTAAAAAGAAATTCTCTTTACTTTCGGCATTGGATGCCTAAGTTCACTCAAGTAGCGAGAAGGTGTTATTAATTTTATCAGTAATATTATTTTAAAAGGAGCCACTAAATACGAGTAATTACTTGGCTCAATACTTGATTTAGCCACTCACTCGGGTTAAAATGTTATTTACCTAATTATAAAAAATATTATCTTAGTTCCACAATTTGTTCTCCCTTTAGCGGCAGAGAAGTGGCTAGTTAATTAAGACAGGAGAAGGAAAGTCACTTGGGATTAGAATGTGTATTTATAGAAGAAAAATAAATAGCATTCGGAAATTTAAGAATGAATTTGGAATCAACATTTATTTAGTCCAACTCACGGATATTGATATCAATACGCGTTAAATGATCCGCCCCTCCCCCCTCAAATAACAGCTCCATGTACCTCAGGCTTCTTGCAGACCATCGCAGTATAAATCGAGCAACGAGAGAATGTGCCACAGGCCACGAGAGGAACTCGCAAGAGTACTGCTGAGTCTAATCCTCGTGCTCTTGACGTTCGCGGCCGACTGTCAATCGGCTCCGATACCGAACCCGAGGTCCCCGTGGCGAGAGGACGAGGGCGCACCTACGATTTTCACCTCGTCGTGCGATCCGGTGACGGGTCGCTGCCTCGAATGGCTGCCGATCGTTGACTCGCACCTCGGTGACTACATCATCGAACCGGATTCGGATTACGACAGGTGAGGGTTGCGTTTACCTACTCATCTACTTTTTCCATATCACCCGGTATCTTCGACATCTATGGAGCAGCCGATAGTTTGCGCACACTTTTGCGCTGCTTTGCGAGCAAAATAATGCCGAGATTCTCTAAACTTATTGCAATTCTGATGACAGCTGGCTTTCAATCTTCAAAGCCCCAATGTCATTCGAGAGAAGACTCTCAAACATTTCAAAGATACTTAAATCGACAATTTCACTTGAAATTAAGGGATTACAACTCTAATCGTCATTATTCGATATTCATTGGTAACATTTTAAATTATTAACACATATTAATTTATATTTCAATAATGTATGCTAAACACACCACATTTCAGCAAGAGAATGTAATAAATTGCCTCAACATTTTAATAATTTCATTCTAAATTGTTTAATAGTGTAATTAATTATTAATTAATTACAATTAATTTATTAATTAACTTATTGTGTTTTATTATTATTATTATTATTATTATAAAGTTGTACGCTCATTGTTACGAATTAAAAAAATAAAAATACATAATTACATTATTGTATTGATAATTATTGTATAAATAAGGCAATATTACTAACTCAAAAATTTTAATCTAATTAAGCTCTATATAAAACCTATTTTAAAATTTTTTCTAAATCATTAAAATCACAAACAAATCAAATTTAATAATCGCATCTCATAACTTTACTAACAATTGCACGCTTCAAAACTGTATTAAATTCATTATTACAACAAGCAAAAGTTCGTTTTAATATAGCGACAAATTTAATGATACATAAAGCTTATTTATTATCAACATGCAAATAAAAAGAATGTAAATTAAAATTTTTTCAATCGGTAATTTATAAAACTTACGTTGAAATATAAACTTTCCGTAGAATTAATTGAATTAAAATGAATGATTATACAAATAATGAATAGTATAATTAATACGTAAATTCAAATAGTTGAATAAATTACTTTGTTATTGTAAAGGGGGAAAAAATTGCAGATTAATATATTTACGATAGATATAACGATTTATTTATACTTATAACGACAGATTGCCAATTTTATTACTATGAGTTTAGCGAAAAGTTAAGTGATAATATTTATAACTTGCATAGCTAATAATTTTGCCAACTAAGGTATATAAACAAAGTGATGAGTATCTGATACATAAAAACAGCTTATAACAGCTCTGTTATAATATTTAAATATTATTTCAGGACAAATAATAAAAACAATAATTGTCTTTTATTTCATTCTTAATCTTTGTTCCTCAATATTTAAGCTAATTAAAGCAAAATTGAAGATAAAAGCTCTATTTATTTGTATAATTAATCAATTTGAAGAAGCATCAAGCAATTCATTTATATAATATATTGTAAACAAGGCAACGGATACAATTTTATCAAATATAATGAAATTTGGCATAGTTAGAAGCCCAGAATTTTAAAAGCATCGAATACCCTAAGTGCTTGCAAATATACGTTATACAATTAGATTTCCCTTCAATCAGACAACATCCATTTATTATCATACGTATGCAGCTTTCATTACTTTTCTTTACTACAAAATGTATTAATACATGCTCATAATAAAATACTTTATCGGTCATACTCTACGTTTTCAATAGTTCCTAATAGAATAATTAGACGATCCAATTAGAGCTAATCTGATTATTACAATTTATGAATCGTCATCTAAATAAAAAATTTCAGTATTAGATTATATACATTTGGTGACTAACACTTTTTAAGTTTTATATTTCCCGATGAAACTTGGAAAATGACAAATAAGTTTTCCGATAACTAAATTTATTCCAATATATTCTGTAAGATATCAGTATCAATAAATATCCATTACCGTCCCATACAAATCTTTATGTTCAAATATTAATTGTCTAAGTGTATGGCAAGTATACATATAATAATACTAAATAAGACAACATATTAAAACGTACTTGAAAAACAATTAATGCATTTTCGATTAAACTCTTTTATATTAATTTATAAAATATGGAAGATCGTAGATCATGAATTTATCATAAAATATAGCCAACAGTTAACCGAAATTTTGCAAAATTTAAATAATTTTCGTGAATGGCCTTGCTCATATAAGGATGCGCGTACAAAGTGTTTGGATTTTAATCTTTGATTTCATTCGTTGCTAAAATTACAGTTAATTTTAGACAAATTGTTTAATATGCGTCAGTTAAGTATTTACGGGTAATAGCAACGAATTAATGTTATTAAAAAGTAATGGATTAGCACCCGATTCCCTGTCTCGGCAACGAATAATGTTTCAACAAAATCCTCTACACTCCAGAAAAGCTCTATGATTATAAAAAAAAAACTTCAAAAAAAAAAAAAACTTCAAAAAAAAAAAACAATAATAATAATAAGAAGGATGGCAAGCGAAATCGAAAATTGTCAGTATACCAAAATCCAAATATGTATATAAAAGCATGAGGTGACAACGTTACAGGGCCCAGCTCATCCAAACCCGAGATGTAGACAAGGTCTCGGGGGCTTGGCGAGAAGCGACTTCCGAAGACAGAAATCTCGGCGGTTTCGGTAACCAGATGATCACTAGTAGACTCGCCAAGAAGGACGTCTTCATGTCACGAGGCTGGGGAGCTGGTGGTATGCCTTTCTCCGTTCTCTACATGAGTCCCCGAGCCAACCATCCACCACCCTCAGGTAGCATATGAATACAAACACTTTAGCCACGGCGTACCGATCGTTCTCATTTCGACTTTTGCTACATGGAAATAGCTTAACACCTCTATTGCCCATCTACGTCAGATCTACATCACGGTGATCCGTATGCCGAACCTACCGTCGAATATTAATATGCCGTTTTGTTTTACGTTGCATTTTCATTTTATAAATCGGTGACGCTACCTACATAAATACTCTCGTTCAAGATCAATGACATAATACAGATTATGAACATTTTTATGAAGCGTAACAACAATAAAATGCACACAATGCGTGCTCTTCATTTCTCTTTTTTTATTCATTTTTTTTCTTTCAAAGAGCGAATAGAAAGAAAGGAAGGTAAGTTTTGAATGAAAAATTGAAAATGCATTGATTTTTTTGTTTTTGTTTTTGTTTTTTTTTTTTCATTTGAATTATTGACCGTTAAACGGAAACTTTTTAATACTCTTTAATAAAAATCCATATTGAATATAATTTAATATGAGCAGAATAGATTATATCCGAGATTTTTCATAGCTATAAATTTTCTATGAATTTCGTTTACTTATAATTTAATTATATTATAATTTCTTTTCTTATACTTTTATAATAATTTATATAATAATATATATATATATATATATATAATAATTAATATTTTGTTTTCAATAATAAAATTACAAGCTTACTACAGAAGCACGTAATGGTGATTATTGGTAAACGTAAAAGGTTTCGTAATAAATTTATTCTTTGGCCATTGACGAGAAAATTGCGACAAACATAAAACTTTCGAATAATCAAAATGTTCGTAAATTTGAAGGCGCGTTCGTTACATTCGAATTGGCAATCTTAGTGAATTATATAAAGAATTGATCGATAGTTGAAATTGCGAAAGTTGAACCTACCACCAACCGTTCGTAATAATGAGAAGGTGAATTTGACAAGTAACCTATCGATCGCCTCCGTGACATTTTCTTGAGAAACGGTAAAATCTTCATTGGCTGCAGGTACAGTGCAAGTGGAGGCAACTAAGGGCGCGGAGCCGGTTAGGAAAAATGGTGAGCCACCGAACGCCCGGATTAATCAACCCAATAACCGAGTGGCACCGAGGAACGGGGGATCCAGCCAACCCCGACGGCACTACTCCATTATACCGCAACTCTTTATATCGTACGGCTGGGGGCCATCGGGCAAGTAATCCCGTTTGTAATCGAGCCAACGATAACGAACGAAACGATGAAAGAGACGAAGAGCCACGATACAATTGAATAACGAGTAACCCTTTGTTTCTGCATTTTCAAAATTCTACGGCCTCGATACAATAAACTCCAAAATTGCGCACGTTCTACGGTTACATTTACTATCAAATGAACTTGCTATCGTTTTACGGACATTTGCATATTACACCGGATAAGACTCAGTTGAAATAAATGGAAAGTATTGAGTTTAATTCCCGATAATCTATCGATATTACGTTTTTCATTTATAAATACTTTTTTTTTTTGTGTAACGTATAATCATTTACTGAATTCAATTGTATTTGTAATGCAAAACTTTTACGGAAAATCATGTAATTTTTAAGGTCACAGTAATCTAATGATATAATTGTAACACGCAGTTATATAATATTTAATGAAATAATAATGGCATATCTTATTTAAGAAAAAAAAAAAAAAAAAAAAAAAAAAAAAAAAAAAATCATGATTGTATTAGCTATCCTTGTTAATTAAAGTTTTTATTAATTTGAAGGAAAAATTAATATATCAGTGAATTATAAGACTTATCTACATTTGTAATATTTAGAAAATAAAACGTTATTGTAACAGATAGAAAGTCAGTCGAAGTAATTCAAGCTTATTACTTTCAAATAAATATATAATTGAGGATGAAACAAACCTATGTTCCAAAATACTATAATTACTTTCTTGACTAAATATTACCAATTTACATTAATCAAGTCAATTAAATAAGATAACGAAAGGGTTGCAATCGATGCATGATAATTATAAGCTTGATAAATTATTCAGTAATTGGCATTACTTAAGGGTTTATGCCTTTATAAATTAAAAATACAATTTGCGATTCAAAAAATACGATTCTGTGTATCTTACATTTATAGAAATAATAAGGAAATAGATAATCATCCTTTATATTTTTCATTAAATATAACGTGGCTTCTGACTTTTCTTTAGAATAGTATTTATTTTTATTTCAATAAACAAATATTGTAATAGTATGAATATAGTTTAATGTACATTAAACTATTGAGAAGCTAATTTTCGAAAACACCTATTTGAGTAACAGCAAATGAAGGCTTATTATATTCCACACATTGTACAATTTAGAAAAGGAATATTTGAATAAATACAATTTTAGTATGAGTGAATTTTGTTAGTATATACCGATAATAAAAGCATGTACACTGGTTTACATTTTTCATTTGTTGTTATTCAATCCACTCTAAACCTTCGTATTTTTATCGTCTACATTTTCTAGCTGCAAGAGGACATTCCATTGCATATTTTAAGCACACATAAAAGCGATAATATATTATAATATAAAAGATCTCATGCTAAATAAATGCTTTAACAATTAAGTTTTATAAGTAAAGCGAATGATAAAACCTATCCAATAAGGTTGAAACATATTCATTAATTATGTAATTGTTAGTACAATATTAACTTTTAATATACTAATCGACTATTTAATTTATGCAAACAATGCACATATAGAATTATCTATAGAAACTATAGTATTTTTTTATTAATGATATATCCACTTTTTATAATGAAATGTCTTCACTTTTAACTATTACATAAAAATTATTTTAATGTCTCCAATAAGAAATCATTAAATTATCATTTAAACTCTGCAAAAAATTTGTTAATATTTTTACTTTTAAACCTTATCTATAACTACGTAAATTGTAACTAAAAGATTAAAATAATTATATATTTATTAAATGAATTAAAATTGATTTTTTTTTCATCCCGAATTGTCATTAATTTATAATTGCGTTAATACCCTTTGTCACATCGGAACATTCAGTAATAATTCTTTCAAGCAACATAAAAAATTCAATCAATGTCACATAGTTTTGTGAAAATTGCAACAATAAAAATAATTGCTTTAAAAAAAATTGTTTTCTTTATTTTAAAAAGTAGATTATATAAATCGTTCTAAATCCTAATTAATGGCTTAACCGTATCTTATCTATAGTGTTTTTAAATAATTCTTAAAAAATTATTGAAATTCTATAAGACATACAGTACCACTAAGTTATTACTTCGATGCATTGCAATTTGCATTATAATACAATACAGTTTATTCTAAAATAATAGTATACCGATAATTTTACCATCAACTTACCGTTCATTTCCTTCATTGCTTTAATAAAGTCTTGAGGATCTTTGAAAGACACAAAGCCAAAGCCCTTAGTTTTGTTGGTTCGTTTGTCTCGCACGACCTTCGCTTTCTGAAAGCTGGGATACTTGCCAAACACACGAACAAGCATCTCGTCTGTGACGTCATTTCCCAGATCGCCACAAAATATTCTGAAATCGTCTGTAAAAAAACAACGAAGGCAAATCGGTAAGTCATTGCACGTGATGCACAAATTTTTTAATTTTGAGGACTCGGTAAAATGTAAATTTCACATAAATCAGAAAAATTAATTTCATTCCATTCAAAAAACATTTGGTTTCATAATTTATTTTAAGATGTCTGTAAATAACATTTAAATATTAGAAAATTAATATATTAATGTAGCTATGGTTAAAAAACTAAAAAATATAATTTGTAAATTCAATCCTTATACAAATGTGATTAATAAATGTCAATGTAAGTTTTTCTATTAGTTACTTTCATCTATACTTTTCCAATTCAAATATTTATGCTTTATAGTTATATCACTTTAATAACGATTATTCTTACATTTTTTTTATTAAGATAAGTGTTTACTTATTTCTAAATTTGTATACATTATTCGCAAAACCTAGGGATATATGTTTTGAAAATTTTCAATTAAAGCGAAAGTATATGACAAGTAATATTTAATAATGTTGTTTGTGTGTTATAATGTGATGTATGTATATCAGTTTTCTCGGATATTACAAGGCTAATTTTGTTTACTGTAACGTATTATGTCATTTATTAAGTTTATTTTTAACATATAAATCGTTTTATTATTATTATTTGTATCATATAAATTTGTCATTTTTAAATACACTAATTATTAATTATTGATTAATATTTAACAATATAATGCACAAATATTGATATTCCTATGAAACATAAGATTCAAAACAAGAGCATATAAATAACAAAATGTCATGGAAGCAATGTTTTTAAAATTAAGTATTTTGTTACTTTAGTATTCTATTATTTCATACTATAAATTTCACTAACCATCATCCCATTCCAGCAATGAAGGATCTTCCCAAGTTTGTCCACCTGCCATTCTAATTATTTTTTTATTTTTTTTTCCTTTGCCCTTTGGATGTGATTCTTCAGCATTGGCATTAGCCATGATTGAACTAGCCTTTCCTTGACTAATTGCTAATTCTGCTGCTGTACTTACACCTTTTACTTTTGGTTTCTTCTTGGAATCATCATCTGGTATTTTTGTATTGATGATTTGTTCAATAATTTCAGGATGGATTAACGGAGTTGCAGGTGTCGATTCGTAATTTTTAGGAGTAGCACTTAATATTGGATCTACCATATTTGAAATATAAGGTGTGCTTATTTGCGCTGGCGAAGAATATGTTGTTATCGGAACTGAGCCTATAACATAATATATTGTATTTGTCATAACAAATATTTTTATTTGTATGTAATAAATAAATTTTGCCCTAAATAACAAGTTCAAAAGAAATTAGTAAGACCATCGTTATAAATTAAGATCGGTAATGGAAAGGAAGAAATACAAAATTATCAAGACTGTAATAAATAAAATATTATCAAATAATGTAAATTTTAATCGATTAAAATCATTTTGAATGTACTTTGTCTGGAAACTTGAGCTGGAATCATTAAAGGAGTTGGTGGTGGAGGTGGTGGTGGTGGTGGTGGAAAGCATATTGGTGGAAATGCTAGAGATGCAGCTGCTGCAGCTACAACAGGAGATGGCATGTCATGTTGTTCCAGTTGTCTCGCTACTTGGTTGTATGTATTAGCTCCAATTACTGTCCTTGTTATTGGAGGTACGATCTGACCACCAATTTCAGCTTCGAAGCTACAAATATAAAATAAACTTTGACAACGATTCGCATAAAATTTTATGAAATACGCATTATATGTAGTTACTGCTTATATGGCCTATATAAACATTTTCAAATGAAAAATTATAGGATAATATAATAAAAAGATAATATAGAATGAAAATAAGGTTATATTCTTACCGACTCATTTCATCTTCCATTTGTCTAAGCTTCATATTATCGTCCATTATGGTATATAATTCAAACTGAACTCTAATTAGTATTTATATGTTACAAGTTCAAGTTCAAGTTCAAAAATATAAATATTTTAAATATAATCCTTCATTCGCTTTTATATATCAATTATAATCATCCGCCAATGGCCGAGTTAAATCTTATTAACCTTAAAAATACTAAATTTAAGGTACAATTAGAAAATTAATAATATGTAAATTTATATTACTTATGGAAAATCAATTAATTAAATGAAGAATATTAATTTTTCTTCGAATAAAAATAATTCTTGACCACAATAAACACGAAATAGTAAGCTATCGTCATTATCACGTTTGCAAACTACCGTGTAACACTTAAATGAACATGGCTGCTTATAGTGATTATATCAGTGATGCCAATAATTAAACCAAAATAGTGTATAATATATAAATAATTTATATTTTAATAAAAATACATATTTTTCTATACACACATACATATATATATATATATATATATATATATATATATATATATATAATTGTTTATGTTTCATCTTGTTAATGTTTTAAAAATTTGCAATTTATTTCTTAATAAGTAATAATTTAAAAGGAAAAAATATTTTACAAACAGGATAAGAAACTTAGCAACAATGATCCCAAATCATAGTGCACCTCAGTTTTCATTTCATACCAGCTGATAAGTCAATGTGTTTGTTGTTTGTGCAATATGATACAGGAAATACGATTTATTTTAGCAATTTTTTTAGTTATAAGTTCATTCTCTAATTCACTTGCCGAAAATGAGGATGACGTATCGACTGATCTCTATGTTATTGAAGGAAAAGTTTTTTCATGGGAAAATGCAGGTAATACCCCTTGGCAATTAATGACTCATGTTATGGCCAATGGTGGAGAGTATTATGGATTTCTTAGGTAAATATTCATAGTTTTATTTCAGTTTTATATTTCAGAATTTATACAAATAGCTTATTAAGATTATACGACTATGTTTATATGCATAATTTTTATTAATATGAACATAAACATATAATATTTTGCATATATACGAAAGCATGATACTACATGTTACACATCAGTTATGTATAATAAATAATATTTTTTTATAGGGAAGATGGAACATTTACCATATCAAATGTACCTTTTGGATCTTACGTAATAGAAGTAATTAATCCAAATTATGCTTATGAACCAGTTAGAGTAGAAATTAATTCTAAAGGGAAATTTAGAGCAAGGAAGGTTAATTTAATACAAACTTCACAAGTTATTCAAGTACCATATCCATTAAAATTGAGACCTCTGACGCCATTTAGATATTTCCAAATGAGAGAGCAATGGCGTGTGACTGATTTCCTCTTTAACCCTATGGTAAAATTTGATAAATTTCTCATTAATATTATAGAATAAAATTGAATTGGTAATACGTAATTCTATTTATTTTTAGGTTTTCATGATGATATTACCATTATTGTTCATCATAATTTTACCTAAGATTATGAATGATCCTGAAACGAAAAAGGTACATTTGAATATAATATTAAATTATAATATTTTATTGAAGTAAACGTATATACAAACTCTAAATAAAATAATAATATTATAGGAAATCGAACAGCTGAATAATCTGACAAGTTACAATATGCCAGAAATGTCGGAAGTAATAACATCATTCTTCTCTAGTGGAGAAAAACAGAAGGCAAAAACAGTAAAAGCAGTGAAAAAAAGACAATAAAATTAGACTCTCGTTCTAATTTATATTTCATCGATTAGAATTTGTAATATAACTACGTTTTTTCACAAAACCAACAATATTTTATAACTTCACAGCTTTTTCACTGCAATCCGACCATAAATTTCTTCTTTCCAATTTTAGATTACTCTAAATTCAAATTATATGAAATAATAGTAGTATATGCTTCACATTCAATTATTTTATTAGTTGTTTAAAAAAAAAAAAAAAAAAAAATAAAACAAGGACGATACAGAATTAATTCTATATATTTATTTATAGTGCAACAAATCTATAATTATTATAATTGTATACATCATTTTATTCAATAAAAGTTAATATAAATAGCTTGTTAGTTTTAAATATTTTTAATATAGGTAATTCAAATATTAGATATTTTTGTTTATATTTGTTTGCTGTGAAAAATTGTTAATCTTCTGACAAAAATATTTCTAAAAATATAATGATACAGGTATAAAAAGATTATTTTATAATCAATATTAAAAGTAAAAATGAATATAAAAATAACAGTGTCTATAAATTGATTAAATTTTACTAATATTTATAATTTTAATAGAAATAAAATATTTATGTAATTTTTTAATGTGCAATTAATACAAAATTGAATGTGAAAACTTAAATTTTAATCTCACGAATGATTGGTTAAAGATATTTCTAATAAATATTACAGCAACTGTATAACTTTTATTCAAAGTTCATTTTTCAGACTTCGATTTGAGCATCTTTACAAAAGATAATAAATAATGGTTTAATTGCACGTCAAAATAATGTAAGAAGGAAGTGAGAAAACCTAATTTCCAACCTAACAACAGCCTACAACTCACGATGTTAATTTGTGATATTTTGAAAACAACCTGCACGATAAATCCCGACGAGAGCCGTCATTATCTAATTCAACGATTCGAACGCTCGTCGTCTGCTAATTAAAAGGCCGGGGCAGCTCGTATTAGCATTTACTCGTACGAAGTTAAAGAAAGATGCCGTCGTGAATGAGAAGGTTAAAAAAGAAAAAAAACGTTGGAAGCCCACCGAGCCGCGTTCTATAAATTTGTCTTTATTCAAATGCGTGCTAATCCCAAGACCGGCGACGCAGCCGACAGAGAAGAGACCGCGAGGTGCACCAGCAGGTAATGTCACGATCGGAAAGCCGCGCGGGTGGGGTCGATAATAACCGCGCGTGACCACCCATTGGGTTCTCGGAGACAATATCCCGGACGCTATTTGCCAGAACATCAAAGCGTAACGTACCGGCGGCAGCCGAGAGCCGACACCTCGACTTCCGAAATCCCAACGAGGCGCCTCGCATTTTATCTCGCGCTACGTCGTATTTCTCGCCATGGCGCTTTGTCTTTGTCCTCCCCCCCCCCG